TGGGTGCTTTCACGTTACCACTGAGGTTGTGCTGAGTGTAATTTGCTGTGGGATGGGTAATTCACAGAAGGCAGCAGGTAGTGGTTGTGTCTGTGCTGTGTGTGTGTGTGTGTGTGTGTTTGTTCGAGTTAAAAGCTGCTCCGCTGGTGAACCCAGCTAACTGCTGTGTTTCCCTGTTCACCCATAGGACAGACGTGACAGTATTGAAAGAGATGAAAAGCCACAGAAACACAGGGAAGTAAAAGTGTGGTATACTCTTTCAGACATAATTGTTTTTTATTCACTCCACTTCACAGACCCATTGAAACTATGACCACGTTTTCTGAATATGTGTGTGATCTGGGTCATCTTGATAGATGCCGTCATCAGAGCTGGAGTTGGTAGCATTGTAACCAAGGTAACAGACAACAGATGTTTTACTTTGGTTCTCCTGTCTAGGGCTGGGAATCAATATTCAAACACTTTTAGTACCAATTAAAAAAGTATTAAGTACCACATTCATAACATTCACAAACATCTATCTTGTTTCCTTTATTCCTTGATATTGAAATATAAGATTGCCAAAACACCAAAAGCCCAAGAGCACATAGGTCACACATGGAAAGAAGCACAGCACCTGATCCGACAATGCAGCTAACTAGGATGCTACATCTGAATGTAAATAAATATACATTTTCTAACCTGCTATCCTCTCTGATATTTATTTGCCATGCTTCAGATGTTTTATCTGGTAAAATTGTAGTGCAGAGTTACATAATTTGTGAATTCAGAGACACAAAATGAATTTCCTCCATTCCTCCCTACTGTGATTGTGGAGGTCAGCTGCCGTGTGCTGCAAAACCTGATGGAAAATCAGCATTGTGCATGCTGCTGTGGCACTATTGGTCTTACTTTGTTTCAATATCACTGTGGCTGTGCAGTTAATAGACTTTTATTTTCAAATACGATTTTGGTTTCCTAAGATTATGAAAATAAATTATCAAAATAAAATGAGTAGTGTTCCGCAGTGCGTTTCGAGATGATGCTCTCGTTCTGTCTTGTGTTCCCTTTCCTTTACACCGGTGGCTCGCAACTCAACCTAACAGCCCAAACTCCGTCTCAACAGGCTGTGGCAAGTTTAGGTCAGCTCTAGTCAAGATGACGACGGTTACAACTGCTAAACTTGTTAGTCAGGATTATTATCTTAAGCCTACAGCATTTTACACTGCATTCATTAGCCTTCCCTCTACTCATAGCTTATTAACCCTGCTGTTAGCCTAATGTTGGATTTCTTAAGTCATGGGCTATTTGGGATTTTTGGGGTAATGCATGTAACAATAAAAAAAAAAAGCATGTAATAATTCTAAAATTAAGTAAATGTGTGATGTTTCATATTTCAGTGATTAATCGTGTTAAATAATCATGATCTCAATATTGACTAAAGTAATTGTGATTATGATTTTTGCCATAATCGAGCAGCCCTAAAAATCAGTACAGAAACTCAGCTGATATCATGCTATTCTGATACCTATCAAAATTTTTCAAACGATTTCCAGCCTCGTGCCTGTCCTATATTAAAGACACACACATACTTTACACTTATCTCATGGCCTGTTTATCCAGATCATTAAAGCTCATCATCAATTTCCACAAATTCCACAAATTTCCACAGCTAAAGTATGCTTTCCTACATATTAATTTGTCACATCACAGTACATGCCTGCTTACCTATACCAGGGTGCTGCATTTAACCCAGTGCATGCTGGGATATGTTACAACAATGTATAGGACATAGACGGATGGGATGATATGCCTGCTGCTGCCAGCATGTTTGTCTTTGTTTCTGTTCTTCGAAAAGAGCTGTTGCTTCAGTTATCTCTGTCTGCACCAGCTCACCTCCCTCCTCCCTGCTCCTGAACGTCATCTTCCCAACATATAAATACATTTTTCTCACACACGTGTATCAGCACTCATTATTCCACAGTATGAACAGGTCAGTTCAAGCCCCTGGTTTGTTCATTCTAACCCGCAGCCCTTGACTGGTAGGCCTCTGTTTATCCCGTTGACTGAATGGGATGATGCACTCACTCCACAGGAGGGATGATTCAATATGTGAACTCTCCAACCTCAGCAAAGAGATCCAAAGTGCAGTCCTGGCTTCTCTGCATGCAGCGATGTGCTGCTTCACACAGTGTTGTGCAGGAAACAAGCATAACCCACGCTCAGACTCTGTGTGCTCTTCTTACTTTTGCCTCTTGGGTTAAAATTTTAACATAATTTTGATGCATCCAGAAGTGGAGTAGCTGTAGTAAAGAGAGAAGGGTAGTAGTGCATTTACTTGGTTTACTCCACTTTCCATCAGGGATTGGCAAAGTAATTATCTGTTGGCTTTCTGTGAGTGTGTTACACCTCCCACTTATCTCCTTTGAACATCAATGGGATTATTTTTATATGATTTTGTCTATATTTTGTCAGCTGGGGATGCAACGATCCAAAACTGATATTGGATATTGGCCTGATACTGACTCAAATAGCTGGATTGTTGTATCGGTGACAAGGGGGACAGTCCATACAATTCAATGACCCAAACATTTTCCTAGTAGATCTTACATAGCATGGAGGGAGCTAAAAACAAGGGGTCAGCAGTTTTGAGGGATTGATCAAGCCTGGTGTTGCACTTAAAATAATGATTCCCTGTCTCTTCCTCTCTGTGAGAAACACAGCTTATTAATTTTACTCTGGTATCGGATTGGCACTCGACCCGATACCCAAAGCCCAGGTATCGGTATCTGGGTATTTTCAGCAATAAAGCTCTAAGAATCTGACTGGTGGTGGGCCAGTGACACACAAACAGCAGGCTGACAAAGTGAGAGGGGTCCAACTGCAGACCTCCACTGTCAGGCCGGTCAGTTTCTTACGTCTCCACAGGACGTAACGTGATGCATTCTCGGTTGTTTCGCTACTCTGCACATCACGACAGCGGTAGGTGACTGGTTAGCATTATACAAAACATTGAGTAAAGTCTGAATGCATTGCTCTTGGTATATTTTCGTCGTCAATAACTACCGCTGTCAATATTGTACATACACATCACACAAATTACAAAATGTTACACGTGTGTAAGTTAGGCTGTATGAATTGATCTTAGTTGAATTGAAGTTTATGTACTACGACAGTGTTTCCCAACCCTTTCCTGGAGAAAGTTCCCCCCTGTCCTGCATGATTTACTCTGTCCCTGCTTCAACACAGCTGATTGAAGCAGCTTCAGGATTCATAACGAGTTGATAGTTTGAATCAGCTGTTTTGGAGCAGTGAGATATTTAACTCACACGGTGATTTAAACAGTTATCCTCATAAAGATATTACTCCTCACCACAGCCACTGTTGGCATATCCTAATTTGCGTGATTTAGATGTAGAAATATTGATAGTGGTAGATATGTTGATGGAACATGCCAAGACCCATGCATTCAGACTTTTAAAAATATTTTGGATGATGCAAATCAGTCACTGCTGCCAACTCCTTTTCTAACTGTGTAATCTGTGTGTGTACAGTGAATAAATTAAAGTATTATTACAGTAGGCTATTGTCTCCATTCATTTTTAAAAAGTGGATATTTACAAAATTATTGATACATGTATTGCATGTGTGTTCATTTTTACGGATTGCACAGTTTGATAGTCCATATAGTCCAGCAGGGTTAATCATGCATCTGTGGGGGTCAGTAATTAATTTACTAACAACAATTATTTTCAATGACAAATGTACAATATATTAATAAGATAAACACAAAGACGTTTTCCAAACGAACTCTGCTGTGCACCGCCTGAATGTCATTACAACATGATTAATAGTTAATATGATACCATAAAGGGCGGATTTGCGGTCTCTCATTGAGCAGTAGTCTTTGTTGGTTTGTTTCAGGCTTTAAAACTTGAACTTAGTTGCAGTATCACACACATCTGGGGCAAGTGGGCTGCTGTGTGTGAGAGAAAGTGTTGACCACGTAATGAGCAATGAAGTCTGTCCAGGCTTCTATTATTTATTTATTAATCCCTGCTGCTAACGTCCGTTATACACTAAAGATCCCCACGAAGCTCAAATTGTAGTCCAGTTTCCACAGTTGTCCGTTTTTCCTATTAAATTCAGCTGATAGCAGTAAAATGCCATAGTATATTACTCTTCAAAAGGAAATTATGAATGAGAAGTGTGTGGAAGAGAGGCTAAGTTACACTCTTAATCAACGACAATGTTTTTCTGTGAATGGATGTGGCTAGCTGTATGGACGGAGTTAACGTCATATTTTGACAGAATAAATAAATAGTGCCTGTAAAAAAAGATACTGTTACTAGTTAAATGATTGAAGTGATATACAGTGGGCTTTGTTGCTACATTGGCACGTTAAGTGCTAAGTAGAATAGGCTCAAATCAATATGCTATATTTAAGGAATTAGCCTGCTAGTTTCCCGTTACAATGTTGACTAAATAATTAAATATAAATCAACGACAAAAACCCTCCCCCTATGTCTACGTGATTAAACTTTATAATTTTTGAATGCGTTTCCTGTCAAATCGCACGCTTTTATTTTGTAGTTTTTGCATGTATTTCCTGTCCTGACCGGCCTGACAGTGGAGGTCTGCAGTTGGACCCTCATGGACAAAGTTGGCAACCAGTTGTTAAACCTAGTGGACCATTTAGCAGCTAAAGAGCCGGACATGTCCCTCAGGACTGGGAGACTAAAAACTGAGCTAACAGAGAGTGAATTCTGGACTGATAAGGTGGGCAGAAACACGGCTCCAAATGCTGATGTTGCTCAGTATCTGCTGGATGTGTAAATAAGCAACTGTTTGCTAACTAGTTCCCCATGTAAGGTGATAATGTGTTCTGTTAACAGCGTGTTGAAGCTGCCCCCAATAGGCTGGGGGAAAAATCAGTTGATTCAGGCTTAACAGTGGTTAGTAAGAACATGTACAACAGCATGTTAAATGTGTTGTTTTTTTTCCCCATCTGTGTTGTTCAGGGGTCCCTTCAGCGTGGTGAGAAGATGCATCAACAGAGACACGGGGCAGCAGTTTGCTGTCAAAATCGTGGATGTGGCCCAGTTCACCTCCAGTCCTGGACTCAGTACAGAGGGTAAGAGCTCGCGATCTCTCACTGCATCTCGCTGTTAATGTCTCTTGTTGCTGTCTGCAGTTTCCAGTCGCTCATGAATACAGCTGAAGATAATTGCTTTTTGACAGTCATTTATTCATCCCACTCTGTTACACACTAAAAGTTGGTGAAGTGCAACCGAGAGGTCAGATGCTTGTCCTTGTTTAATGTTTTCCCCTGAGCACTACTTCTCATTCACTCAGTTGCTCACAACCACACCTGGGAGTTTTCCAGTTCAATCACAGTCTTCTTCTGTTGTCTTTGGGCTGTTCCATTGAAGCAGTTAATTATTAAGCCATGCTGCGGGCACCTTGAGAGTAATTGTTTAGGAAAAAGAAAACTACTATCCCTCCACTCTACATAGAGTTGGCTTATATTTATTTTAAGAAAAATACACTTTTCAAATCAAATATGTGTGTAATGCTGAAACAACAGGAGGAGACACTTTCATAGTTTGTAACACATTTAAATAACATACTTAGTGGAACTTTATTGGTAATTAATGGGGCTGTTGTTCCCATATTGATTTCAAATGTGTTAGTTATGGATGCTTTTGGTAACTTCCATTTACAGGAAGGTGCACAAAGTAATATATCACTTAAGTGAGTATAAATTTTACATGAAGTAATTATTAAAATATGTATAGACTATTAAGGTTATTTAAGAGACTAAATTAAAGATGGTTCAGTAATTCAAAAAAGTTTATATATACAGGTGGTGTTGTGTTGCCAATCCAGGAAAAGGCTGCTGAGTATCGTCTAGACGAATCAGAGGTCTTATCAGATGTTTCCCTACTGACTGAAGGAGCAGTCGAGGGGAGGGGTGAAGAGAACAAGAGAGGAGGAGAGATTGAATTAAAGATATGTGATGGTGGTGGAGTGGGGGAGGGGGGGGTGATAAGCCCGAAACCATTAGATGAACTGAGACGCCTGAAGGGAGATTTAGACGAATACAGGACTTTGTTATGTTGAGTGTGGTCAGTCTGCTGTGAGTCAGGTTTACTACAGGCCATACATCAAGCACGTATATTTAGAAAGCAATGAATAGACCTCCAATACATAACTGCTTTCCCCAGCGTTAACGTATCACTACACCAACAGAAAAGCAACAGCATCGACCAAGAGCACAAGTGATAACTCACGACTGTTCAGTTTATGCAGTTTTAAACATTACCAAGAGTGTCACAGCAGTGTAATGCTGGTGTTGTCCCTCCTTTGTCTAATTTTAATGCTAAGCTAGGCTAAACACATGCTTCTTATATCCAGGTCTGTAATTAATTCACAGACACGAAATTGTCAACTTTCTCATTTCACTTTTAAAAAGACAGAAGATAAGCCTTTAAATGTCACCGGTAAATTAATGTTCCATGGTTTGTTATATTCCACTAATTATCAGCACTTGTGAAATAGACTGAAATATCTCAACTATCCAACTAATGGATGGATTGTTGGGAAAGGTTGTACAGTGTGGTTCTCAATGGATGAATTCCATTGACTTTGGCAATTACATAATATTTACAATTGCTATATAGTCAGGGTTTAGTGTCTTGCTCAGGGACACATTGGTGGATGTGTCACAGTGGGAATCGAACCCTAGTCTCTCACACCAAAGGCATGTGTCTTATCCACTGTACCTCGGTGCGATCCCCTGTCTCTTCCTCCACTGCCACTGTGAGCTTCACGTTTGTGGTTTTGGGTGAAATGGCTTTTACTATTGGATGGATTGTCATGAGAGTTGGTTCAGACATTCTTATCACCCCTTAAAATGAATTCGTGTTGCTAGCACTCTAATGCGCTGAATTAAGATGGTGAACATGCAAAATCTTTCCTGCTTCACATCAGTATGACAGCGTGGCTTTAGATTTCTACCCAAACCAAGCCCCATAATAGACTAGTACCTGTCCAAACCTTCTCTTACCCAGTGATAAAACTGTACATCAGTGCCCAAAATAATAAACAAGATAAACAAGTGTACAAAAATATGTATGGATAGATGCTTGTAAATCTTTTGACCTGGGGGATAAGCAGCATTAAATCAGCCCAAAACTTCCCCGACTCTTAAAGTTAATTGCACATACAGGCAACGGGCTTATCATACAGTGCTATGTACTTGTCTAATTTTCTACAGTAGTATTAGGCATGATTTTTGCAAGCTATGAAAAGTTAGGTGTGCCTTTTTAATTTTGTGTCTCTTCCAAATATACTGACTGATTAAAAAAAGTGTGGTGGAGCTTATATGATTTGTTGTGTCACCGTGCAGACATGCTACGAGTTCAAGATAATTAATGTTTCTTAGACAAGCTTTACCTGCCACATTACACTGTCGCCTTCTTTACCTTCTCTAATTCTCTCTCTGTGATCGAGAGTACATAATCCAGCATGGCAGGCATGGCAGGGCTGCTCCTTAGTTTACTTAAGCTTCTACAAAGCAGACATAAAGTGTTCAGCCATTCGTACAGTTACACCACATGCACACACTTCACACACTGTAAGAGTTAGAGTAAAGAGAGAAAGTGAAGGGCTTAATAAGAACAAAGGAGAAAGACAAAGAGAAGGTGTCAGAGATTGGAAAAGAGAGCAGTGTGGATGTGAGGACAGTTTACGTGTGAAAAGGTCTTTTGCACACGCTAGCCCTTTTAAGGTCATTTAAATAAAGTTGTCCATTCACCCTGAAATATAGAAATAGTACGAAACATGGCTACATCTCTTTTCCTTTAAAGCAGGCATTACTATTATAATCTTAAATGAGGTGGGACAGGCCGAGCCTCTTACTCTGCTTGGTTTTTATCGCCTCCTTTTCCATCCCGTATTCACCCATTCAGTAGAACTTAAAACAGTGATTGAGCATCATAAATCCACCCCAGAATGGTCCTACCATTGAGACTCTTGATCAAATCGCTATTTCATGCTTGCAGAGTTGTCAGATAGCATATATGCAGATCATTGACCTGTGTTGAGCGAGTTGGAGGCAAAAGAAAATTCTTCTGAAGATTTCGGTGGCACAGCCTCCAACTTTATTTTTATTTTGTTCCCTGTCCACTGCAAAGCAAGAGAGCTATTTTTTAGATTTGTCCACCTGAGGCAGGTATTCTTGATTTGACATACCATGAGAGTGGGTCACAGTCCATCCATCCAGACTGGGGCCAAATGAAAGATAAGATATATTTATTGATCCGCAGAGGGTAAATTCAGGATGCTGCAGCACTCGACAGAAATACAGCGCAGGTAAACAAAGAAAGTAAAAAATGATATGATGTAAATATGAATAGAAGTAACTATACAATATAATTGTGTTGTGAAATATATATTATCGTACAGCAATACAACATCGATTTTAAGCTACTTTAAAGGGGGAAATTTGGGAATCAGTGTCTTTAAAATGTCAGGATGCCTAGGTCACAATCAGAATCTAAAATAGAATAATTTCATTCAGAAACAACACAGAGGAAGTCGGCCAGGATTCAGCAGAAATCTGTGAGCTGAAACAGAAACGTGCATCTGTGCAAAGAGTGTAAAGAGCAAATATCACATTAATGATCTGTAAAATAACCTGAAATATGAGATGGGAAAGCACAGTGGAGAGTGTCGGAGGAAATTGCATTATTGTAAACTCCTTCACCACTTGTAATGTAATCACCAAACTGGTTGATTGCTGGACATCCATCTTGACGGTAGCTGCCCTCTCCTCCCGCTCTTAGCTTCCACATGCTGTTCAGTCACGTTGGCTTGACTTCTATTCACCAGTATACAGAGGCTTTCAGCGAATCCTGATTACATGTTCTCTCCTTAGAAACCGGGCGGTTTGTTGGCTTTCTTCTTATGAACAGTAGTGATGGAAAAACTGGCTTGACACACAAATTTTTCATTGTAGCTCTTCTAACAGTGCACCAGTGCCATTTCTCTTCATTTCCAGCATTTATGGTCACGTGTTGTTTTTGTGCGTGACTGCATGTGTGTGTATGTGCAAACATGCTACATGTTAGGTGTGCAATGGGTCACAAAAGTCACGGTTCAGATGGTACCAGGGTTTTTGTTTCACATATCGAATCCTATTTCAAATCAGCAAAAAAGAAGAAAAGCTTAGGGTTAAATAAATCTTAAAATGCGCTTTGGCTCTGATGTATCCGCGCCTTCATGTCTGTAGCATAGACTTTATAAAAGAAGTGGACGTAGTCACTGTGACCGTTTTGAAGCCTTGAGTTTTGCATTTTGGCGAACGCCATCTTATTTTTTTGGAACCAGATGTGACCATATTTGGACGAAAGTGTGGCGCTAGCTAGCTTAGTTAGCAAGGTGCCCCTGCAATTCATTTTAACATTTTAACTTTTTAGTGGCATGCTAATTTTGGCTAGCTAAAAACAGGCTTAAAACAAAATGTACTTGCTGGAAAAATGAACCGTCAACTCCTAATAAGCTTTTTCAGAAGCGCTGGTTAAATGCACACAGAGAGGCGGATACAAGTCGCCTCTATCCTGATTGACAAGTTGCCATGGCAGCAACTTGTCAATCACTAGGTAGCCCTACCCTAAAGCCTCCCCTGCTTTCTGGTCTATTTTCCTCATAATTTACTAAATGAACATCATGCTGTGTTGAAGAACACTTGAAACCAGCGACTAAGACCATAAACTCATTAGGAAAGTGTTTACTGAGGTAATAAATCAGCTGAGAAGTAGAACCATTTTCTCATAGCCTTCTAGATAATCACACTTCTTCTTGCAAACAGTGGAGTCACCCCCTGCTGGCTGTTAGAGAGAATGCAAGGTTAAGGCACTTCAGCATTGCCTTCACTTTTCAGACCCGGAGTTTCATGCTTGGTCTGCAGTCTCCACCATGTAGTCTCGCTCAGTGTCCCGCCCACAGCACTGCATCTGATTGGTTACACATCATGAGTAATAACATATCAGAGCGGAGCTGTGTGTCGAAAGGAAGGCATCAGATATATTACGAAGCTGCAATAAACATCACAATCTGACGACCTGTCTA